TGGCAAGATAATTTGCTGTGATAAGAGTCAAACAGCCTCCAATGCGTATGTGCTATCTCAGTCCCTAATTGTTGTGTGTATTTCCATTTCCCTTAGTGGGTGATCAACTATCTGGCCTCTCCCCGGTTGCACCTACAAGGCTGGTTGTGGTATTCCCAGCCTCATATTTTAGTAACACAACTTCACTTACAAGGATAGCATATACAATCCAGCAGATTAAGACTTATAAAATGATACCTCTCAAGGCCTACTTTGTACAAAATCATCATAATTATATCATGGTAAATATGAGGGTGCTAGGGTATTGCTTTGGGGTACAATTTGTCAAAATTTCAGTGTACATTGGAACAGAGAAAGTTTGACATGCAGTATACCTAATCAAGACAGAGTCTGTAATTTTATAGATCACTTAATTTTAGCTAACCTGAGCTCCTCAAAAAGACTGTATGACTTCAATGGGGGAATTACACCCAAAATACAAATCTCTGGAAATAAGTCATTATCATCAAGGTCACTAACTAATACAGCAATAGGAAACTGTATAAAACTGGATAGTTAAGGGAGGAACAGAATCAGTAAGAAGATGGGAGTGATCCAGGAGGTTGTCTGGAAATTGGCTATTCAAAGTATTAATGCTAAGAAGCCCTGAGATGCATTTTGTTGGATGTGTATAGTTGTTTGGGATCTACTCCCACCCCATTCCTCAAGTTTGAGGGAAGAATCATTAAATGATTTTCAGGCCTTATCTGACTCACCACAGGACAAGGGTTAAAAAAAGAAGACTGTATCTAAAGGTATCTAAAAGGGTGTGTCAGAGAGGAGAGACCAAAATTGTTCTCCTTGGCCTCTGATGATAGGACAAGAAGCAATGAGCTTAAACTACAACCTAGATGGGGTTACTCTAAGGTAACTTACCACAGCATTACTGGCTGAAAAACCATTTTCAGAGAGTAGTTATTTACGGTTCAGAGGGCATCACAAGTGGGGTTCCGCAGGGGATCTATTTTGGGACTGGTTCTGTTCAAATATCTTCACCAATGATTTAGATCAGGGATCAGCAACCCTCGGCATGTGCACCACAAATGGCACATGGAGCCGATTTTCCTTGGCATGGGAGATGGGAGCTCAGCCCCATCCCACCTCCCCTGGCAGCCTGTGCCAATATTCCTTTAATGTGCGTACCTACACAATGATGCACAAAAAAAATCTAAGCCTGCCCACCTCTGCAGGAACTCTCACTTTCCTCCTGCTCCTGGAAGGTAAGTGTTGTGGCCGCTCTGCTGACGGGGATGGCCCAGGGCTGCACTGGGAAGGGGAGAGGGGTTTGGGGACTAGAGCAGGGGTATTGAAGCCAAAAGTGGCCTCAGGACCAGGGTGTGTGTGTGTGTGTGTGTGTTGAAGCCCCGGGCAGCTTGGGGACTGCAGAGGAGGGGAGTGTTGCAGCCGTGAGTGGCCAGCTGCCATTGGCTGAGGCCACATTGTGGGGTGGATGGCGTTTCAGGCCTAGAACACGTGGCGGCCGGGCTGGTTACTGCCGCAGCATGCTGAAGCCATGGGCGGGCAGGTTGGGGACAGGAGGGGGTGTTGCAGCTACGGGCAGGTTGGGAACGGAAAGTGGGGGGGAGGGGAAGGAATGCTGAAGCTGCAAGTGCGAGGGTTGCTGCCACTGGGAAATGGAGCTGGCAGGTTCAAACTATGAGCTCGAGATCGGAGAACTGAGCAAGGCCAAGGATCACACTAAACAGTAACAACTGCATCTTAATTTATTTATTAATGAAGCTGTTGTAAGTAGGACTATTATTGACCAGTACTCAAACCTGCACATAGAGGTGAATCGGTCCAAACTCGGCACTCCACCTCTGAAAGGTTGGTGACCTCTGATTTAGATGATAGCATAAGAGTATGCTTAAGTTTGCAGAGGATACCAAGCTCAGAGGGGTTGCAACTGCTCTGGAGGATAGGGTCATAATTCAAAATTATCTGGAGAAACTGGAGAAATGGTCTGAGATTAATAGGACGAAGTTTAATAAGGACAATTGAAAGTACTCCACTTAGGAACAATCAGTTGGAAAACGAATGTCTAGGAAAGAGTACTCCAGAAAAGGATCTTGGGGTCATAGTAGACCACAAGCTAAATAAATGAGTCAACAGAGTGACACTGCTGCAAAAAAAAAAAAAAAAAAAGCAAACATGATTCTGGCATGCATTTACAGGAATGTTGTGAGCAAGACACGAGAAGTCATTCTTCTGCTCTGCACTGATTAAGCCTCAATTGGAGTATTGTGTTCAGTGCTGGGCGCCACATTTCAAAAAAGATGGACCACCTTCACTTTCTCCAAAGAAGAGCAATGAAAATAATTACAAGGTCTAGAAAACACAACCTATGAGGGAAGACTGAAGGAATTGGGCTTGTTTAATTTGGAAAAGAGAAGACTAAGAGGGGACATGATAGCAGTTTTTAGGTATCTAAAAGGGTGTCACAGGGATAAGGGAGAAAAATTGTCCTCCTTGGCCTCTGATAATAGGACAAGAAGCAATGGGCTTAAACTGCAGCAAGGGAGGTTTAGCTTGGACATTAGGAAAAAATTCCTAACTGTCAGGGTGTTAAACAGTAGAATACGTTGCCTAGAGAGGTTGTAGAATCTCCATCACTGGAGATATTTAAGAAATCTATCTAACCTGCTCTATCACAGATGATCTAGACTCGGTTGCTTCCCTGCTTCTTTTTCTCCACAGTCCTCAATTACAGAAGTCTTTCATACTCCAATTTACAGTAATTTCACTAACCAAGTCAGTTAAACGGTTAGTCATTTACACTCAAACACTCCACTAAGAGTGTGAGGAGGTCTGGAAACCAATGCTGCCGGGGCTATCAGGATTACTGAGGCCTGGAATTCCCTGACCCTGAGGGTTACCAGAAAAGGGGGAAGGCACACAGCAGTCCCCGAGGCCAGGGGATCATGAGCTCATCTCCCAGAGACCCCAGGCTGTGGCTGAATAGAGAGCAGAACCGGGGACACTTCCTATTGATGCAGGTCACAAACAAACAGGTACAGGGGGAAAACCCCCACCTGCGGAAAATAGAGAGGGCTACATCTGCCCTGAGACACCACTCGTGCCCCTTGAAGGACCTGAGGCAATCCTTCAGCTCCTTCTGGGCTCCAGGGAGATTAGTGGCCACCAGATGAATACTCCCATAGGAGGAGAGCCTCCTTGCACCCTGTCTGTTTATATAAAACATTGCAGCCGTGTTGCCGGTCAAAATCAAAATGCACCAGTTTTGAAGCTGCGGAAGGAAACCCCCCCCCAGACAAGGTGAATAGCTCTCAGTTCCCCGACACTGATTTGGAGGGAGAGATCCTGCAGAACTCCTTGCCAGAGGATGTAGTGAAAGCTAGGACTTTAACAGGGTTCAAAAAAAGCTAGATAGATTCATGGAGGTTAGGTCCATCAATAGCTATTAGTCAGGATGGGTAGGAATGGTGTCCCTAGCTTCTGTTTTTCTGGGGATGGGTAACAGCTTCTGCACTTCCACCCTGAGAAGATGCTCGTGAGAGGGGTCCCTGAAGAGGGAAGGGAAGGGTGAATGGGAAGGGGGGGTGGAAGTACAAGGGAATAAAGTGTCCCCTTCTTACCACATCCAGGACCCAGTGGTCCATCGTAATATGGGATCAGGCAGGATGGAAGATGAAAAGGTGATCGGTAAAGGGTCTCCAGTCTGAGACTAGTGCACTGTCCTTGCTTGCACCTTCAGAGATTTGGCCTGGGGCCTTGGGGCTTGCTGCAGGGGCCTGCCCTCCTGTCGGAAGACGAGCGGGAGGGACGTCTGCTGCTTCTATTATTGTTGCAGCCCCTTCGTCAGGAAAAATCCGACCTGTTCTGATGAAAAGAGCAGGGCGGGGCCCTAGGGAGAGAGCTCCTCTGCGGAGCAGGAGTATGGATGCCCAGGGAAGATGACAGAGGGATGAGACAGTGGGAGGTGAGATTCAAAGCTATCAGACTTAATCACAGAAGCAACTGTTAAATTCTTGCATGAGAACAAGGAAAGCCGAGGTTAAAGCATAGAGTCATTCAAGGAAAGAGCCCTGAAAGACTCCAGAGGGGAGAATTACCACATCTGATATACAAAAATATGGCATTATAGAAATATAACATCAAGGACTTATTTAAAAAGTTAGTTTAAAATAAAACTAAACAAAAATGGCAAACTGATTTCATAAGCTTAAGCAAATGGAAATATATTGGTTGACACAAGATGTGGGTGAGGTAATATGTTTTACTGGACAAACTGGAAACCGGTGAAAGACAAGTTTCTGGGCTATACAGAGCTCTTCTTCAGGTCATTTCTGGCTGAGAAATTAGCTCAAATAGGAGATTCATTGGCAATTCATTTTAGCACAGTAGGACAGGCTGTTTGAGATTTGTAATAAACTTAAACCATCTGCTTTCAGTGGTCAGATTCTCACTACCTTTCATAAATTGGGATTAGCGGCGGTATATGACCATCTAGCCACATTTTCAACAGTCTTCTCAGAAGCTCAATAATCATTCTGATGGAATTCAACATCTTTTTTTGGACAAGAACTGCTACATAAATCAAAGTCACTAAATAGTCTTATAATGGGAAAATGTTTCTATTTCATCAACAATCCTTTTTACATTAAATCCTTCACCCAGATCGCCTTATAAAAGGAAGTGTATAGCAAATATCTATGGGAAAACCCACTTAACCTCTTTTCCTTGTTTTATTCATCAAAATTTATTATTAAACAAACCAGTTTATAGAACAAGCAGGCCTTTAAAAAGAATGTGAATTATTACAAAGTTGACTTGCTCTAAATTAATCACAGTTTCACCTAAGGAAGTCATTTACATCACAGCCATGTCAACCCCCAAATCTTTAGTAGTAAATGACAAATAGCATATAGATTAAACATTCCACTTGGATGATTTTTAACAGATACATAGTCGTGTTGCCATTATAATATGCAAGAACTCACATGATTGAACCTTCTTGTGAATGCAACTGCATTTGGTGCAGAACTGTACTTCTCTTTCTTATTCCACCCACAACTTGACAATTCCTGGAACACGAGGGAAAAATTAGTTTATAATATTTACTGTTTATTGAGTGCCATCAGAGTGTTCAGTACACTACAAAGAGATTTTTTATATACATTTCAAGATACTCAAATCTTTATTTTCTTTATTTTGACAAACTAAATGGAATGTACTGAAGTATGACAGTCAGGTCAGAGGGGTACAGGAAAGTAGTAGAGGGGAAATATATTAGCCCCAGATTAAATAGGTCTCTGTTCTTAGGGTAGACTAACAACAGCTGATCCAGAAGCAGCACAAACCTGGTAGACTCAGAGCAATTAGGCCAATTAAAAACACCTAGATCATGGGTCTGTAACCTATGGCTCTTTTGTCATTCCCAAAATACATGCAACTTTTTTAATTAAAAATGAAAAATTCAAAATTTTAAAAACAGGTAATTACTCATGTCAAGATGGCCCTTGTCTATTTCACCTTTAACTGTTCGTTTTAACAACCATCAATCCTCTCCACTCATTGAAGGTAATGTATATTCTCTTATTATTTGATTGGTTGAGAAATCTTTCCATCATTATAAGTGATGGTGAACTCTGACCCCCTAACAGTAAAAGAAAGAGATGACATGTACCAAAATTTTCAAAAAAGAGTGGACAGACTTCTATGCATTCATGGAGAGGTCTGGATCTCCACAGTCTCATTTGTAGTGAGATACTGTCCTCAAGGAAAATGAAACAAAACAAAACAAAACAAAAAAATCGAATTTAGAATGGCATTTCATGACAAAACATGCCGCATTTGCTACAATATACCTGAAGGGTGACACACAAAAAAGCCTGTGGGGAGCTGCAGCAAAAAAATGAACATTGGACAAAATAGCCCGCTGGCTTGGTCAAAGAAAGGCGGGAGCCTAAACTCCGCAAGTTTTGTGAGCTCTTACAACACTATTTGAGAGGAGAAGCCTTTCACTGAAGGGGATTACGTGAAGAGTTGCATGTTAAAATTTGGTCATGAGCTATTTGACGAGTTTCACAGCAAGGACAAAAATCTTACAGAAAATTCAAGACATGCCATTGTCTGCAAAAACAGATCATGACAGAGCTGTGAAAATGGCCCATCAAATCTACAAGGAACAAATGCAAAATTTAAGTACAGCTACTTATTTTTCATTTGCTTTGGATGAGACAACTGACATGTGACAATCAGTTGTGTATTCTGGGACAATATATTTGCGGAAGTGCTGTGCACAAAGAAGTAATTGCAATATTACCAATGAAAAAAATCAAACAAAGGGTTAAAACTGTGATGAACTTTGTAAACAAGAAAAATACAGTTGGATATCTTGTGTCTGTGGGTACAAATGGTACATCTAGCATTGTCAGCAAATTCGGGGATTCCCTACTCTTGCCAGAACAACTGAACCACCCGCTTTTGAACATTTATTGCACTGTGCACTTTGTACGCAATCTTGTGGAACCAAAGTCAGAAATCTAATGAGACTGGTCATTCGCATTGTCAGCTGGATTCTTGCACAAGCCATTAATCACAGTCAATTTCAGCGACAGTTCGAGGAAGTAGATTCTGAACACTCAGATCTGTAAATGCACAACGTTTGCTGATTATCTTGTGGCAAAATTTTGTCTTATTTTGCCACCTGCATTAATGAAATTAAGTCATTTTTGGATACGAAGGGTGTCAAACACACCAAGCGCTCAGACTATGACTTTTTGCTCAAGTTTTACTATCTTGTCAACATAACTGGTTGTTTGAAGACGCTGAATCTTAAGCTACATGGCAAGAAAATACAGTCCTGAGACTGCAGCAGGCAATGCTTGGATTTGAGTTAAAATTCACTTTCTTCAAAGATATCAAGATGGGAAGACTCGTAATCTTTCAAAAGGTGTGAATGTTTCGTGATTTGTATCAGAGAGAGAATACAAATAAACAGCCTTGATTTGCAACAGCTTGCCAGGTTTGTTTCTGAGCTCTTGATGGCATTCAAGTCTCATTTTGTTGACTTTTGCAACCAATGCTCTGTTTAAGTTTTTGATTTGTTCATATAAAGCGTCTGTTGAAGAACTGGATTTGACAGTCATTCCAGGCATCTCAGTCAGCGATTTGAAAATGGAAATAGCAGATTTCAGTGAGTTATGTACCTGGATGGAAAAATTCGTCAAGCTGAATTCTGATTTAGAATGCCTTGCTCAACAACGTGCAGAACTGGCAAAATGGCACAAATGGGCTGACATGAAGAAATTGGAGCACGATGATAATCTGAATCTGCAAACTTGGAAAGAACTTCCTGTCACATACAAAGCCATGAAGTATAAGGTAATTTGTGCTCAAGATTGACAGAACACAGCCTGAACGTGTGCATGAAGCTAAATTTGACCAGTTATGATATAAACTTCAAAGAAATGTGTGCAAAGATGTAGCAACAGAAGTCCCATTAAATAAAGTCTGTGAATACAATGTTTCAATTATGCTATTACTAATTATGTCAAATAATAATATTAAATTGCATATTTTCAGTCATATAAATGGGCACTCTCACACTGGTTCTTCATTGACCACTTTTCTGAATTTTGAAATAGTTTGGCTCTTTGGTTTGAAAAGGTTGCCGACCCCTAACCTAGAACCAATTAGGAGGTTTCCAGACTCAAGGGAGACAGGTTAATTAGAACACCTGGGGTCCAATTAAAAACCTCTTGAGATTGGTTTAAAAAGGGCTTCCCTTCTGCTTGCTCAGTGTGAGAGGAAGAAGCTGATAAGAGGAAGTGTGGTGGAGAGTCTGGGAGAAGAAAAGGCAAACAGATACAAGGAGGAAGAACATCTGGTGCCAGGGAAGGCTGCGGGGAAGTGGGCCAGGGATGCATAGCTGTCATGCAGCTGTTACCAGAAACTTTATAGACAGTTGTTATTACAGAGTTCCTGAGCTGGAAGCCAGCATAGAGGGCAGGTCCTGGGTTCCCCCTCCACCAACTGCCCATTTCAGTAATAGGAAGAGACTGGCTTTGGTACAAGGGTTTGTCCTACGCTGTACAACCTGGAGGGGCCACAGAGACTATGATGTTTGGTTTTCCCTCTTTTCCCCATGTTGGCCAATGATGAAAGTAGCTCAACAAACAGCAAGCCAATGTCTAACCTGAGAACTGCTGGGAGCCTCTGAAGTGAGTAAGCACAGGAGACACTAAGGTTAAGGAGGGTCATCACAGAATTAACAAATACACACAGTTACACTTTTTCCAAATTGTTTTGGTATGTTTGATGGTATTTCTATCTTGTTTACTATGTAAATACCACTCCTAAATTTTCAAAACCTGATTTTAGGTTTTGATTTTGATTGAATTCAAGGTTTGGGATTTTTTTGTTGTACAGGCAGTCCCCGGGTTACGTACAAGATAGGGACTGTAGGTTTGTTCTTAAGTTGAATCTGTATGTTTGTTTGTTCTTAAGTTGGAGCTGGCGTCAGCCGCTGCTGAAACTGATTAGTTTCAACCGCAGCTGAATCTGGATGCCAGTTCTGACTTCCATACAGATTCAACTTAAGAAACCCAGGCGTCCCCAAGTCAGCCGCTGCTGAAACTGACCAGCAGCTGACTACAGGAAGCCC